CTGTCTAACTTATTTCCATTGGGGTCCTTAATCTTGTCCCCCCAGGTGAGACCACACCAGTCGACTAAACCACCCAGGTACCTTATTTGCTGCTAGGTGAAACAGGACAAACAGGTGTAAGGAAACGTGTCGAATGTGTCCACCGCCGGGAATCGATAACCGTGAGCCCTCCGTGTGTGATGCGGGAGCTTTAGCCACCTGGCACGGCAACTTTAGAAAACAAGATTTAGGCTTCACGTTGTTCCCTATGTCTATCAAACGTTCACAAATCCAAACTGCTGTAATCATCCTTGGCTAGAACAGAAATCATTCGTTTGTCCGGCTGGCAACAACAACAACATCAACACGTTTGTATAAATAATCCACCAACCTTCTACTCTCTCTTTCCTCTCTCGTTTAATTTGTTTACTCTCCTCTCATTTACATTAAGACTACAGTTTTATTTTAAGGTAAGTAATGAGTGGGACACGATTATTATATTATAGTTTAATAAAAGAGCCAATTGTGTACGAAATTGGGCAAGCTCCTCGCACAAAAAATTAAGTTGGTGTCCCACAGGGAGTGTCTTGGCCCTTTCTCTTTCTCCTATACACAACATGACCTACCAACATGCTTCCGCAATTACTCAAACCCACAATTTTTTGCAGGATGAACACTTACATACGTCTTCTCTCACCCGAGCCCCAGTCACGCTAGCCAAATACTGTAAGCACCGGAATTACAGGAAAATATTACCTGGTATGAGACTAACAAGCGTACACTTAACATTGACAAAACTTCATCATTCAGTTTGTAACAGACGCTACAGGTTGTACACTCTTAACATAACAATTAAAAACGGATCACCTATCTACAAAGCTAACAGAGGGAAAATTTCTTAGGAATCCACACTTGATAATAGGGGTGGGGGGACTCAAATTTCATTACACATATACAACAAATTTCTCAAGAAAATTTCCAAGAATGTAGGCATACTATCGGAAGATACGGTACTATGTTCCACAGTCAAGCCCTGCTGGCCCTATATCACTATCTTATTTACCCCTATTCACCTATTGGAATTTGGCATGGGGCTAAAACCAATTAATCCATCTCAGACCAATAATTACCCAACAAAAGCTGCAGTTAGAATGATACAAATTCTCTCTACAGGCAACACACTCACCAATATTTAAACACTCATCTTACTCACCATACAAAACTATCCATACTTATTATTGACCTTTTACATTACTTAGAACACTTAACTCTGATATTAACCCTTCCCCTCAAAAACATCTCCTTGCAAACCTACAACAGAAAACTTGGGACCATAAAACAAAGGCACAGATCACACTTTGATGTTCCTCGTGTCATCTCACGCTAATACCTGGATTTACCTGGAAGAGAGTTCAGGGGGTCAACGACACCGCGGCCCCGGTTGCCTAGCCCTCCAGCCCGCCTATTGGTCCGTTCACAGAGCCTGAATCAACAGGCTGTGCTGCTGGCTGCACGCAAAACAACATTACGAGCCACAAGACCGGCTGATCCGAAACGGTACTTGTAGGTGCTTGTCAGTGCCAGCTTGAAGGCTGCCAGGGGTCGGTTGTATAATCCCCCTTATGTGTGCTGGGAGCAGTTTGAACAGTCTCGGGCCCCTGATCACTTATTGTATGGTCTTCTTAACGTGTAGTGACACCCTGCTTTTTTGGGGGGATGGTGCATCGTCTGCCATAGTCTTTGCTTTCGTTAGTGGGTGATTTTCGTGTGCAAGTTCGGTACTAGTCCCTCTAGGATTTTTCCAGGTGTATATATTCATAGTATCCTATCCATCTTTGCGTTCAGGGAATACAGAGTTTAGGAAACCTCAAGCGCTTCCCAAGTAATTGAGGTGTTTTATTCTCCGTTATGCGCGCCGTGAAAGTTCTCTGTACATTTTCTAGGGTCGGAAATTTCACAGCCTTGAAAGGTGTGTTAGTGTGCAGCAAGATTCCAGCCTAGATAGAAACAATGTTGACCTGAAGAGTGTCATCATGGCTTGGCCTCCTAGTTTTGAAGGTTCTCATTTCCATGCTGTCATTTTTCTCAGCGATGCGATTGATACAATGTATGGTCCATGAAGGTGAGATCCTCACAATGATCACTACAAGGTCTTGGAGTGGTGTTTCGGCTTATGTTGTGGCCAGAATTTGTTTTGTGACTTCGATGAAGATTTTAAAAATTTTTTTTCCTCATGTTTACCATATTGAGTAATTGAAATTTCTCATCGGTTGAACTTCATATTGTTTTACTGCCAGCCACTGCACATAAAAGGCCCTAAAAATCTGAATTCATTACTGTAAATTAAAAGAAAACACTACTGTTTATATTATTATTTATTATAATCAAATGGGGAAGCGCTAACACGGCGGTATTATACAGAACCTGGGCGGGGGGGATGTGGAAGGCATTCAGGCTTAATTCGGGGATACTGGAGCACAGATCATTCCATAAATCAAGAGCCCCTCACCAACATCAAGGGAACCTTCCTGAGGGGGTTACTGTTTATAAATTCAAGTTCTTCTTCAAAATCATTACTCACTCAAAACCAAATAAATTACTGAATAACTGAACACTTATAAATTGTAAATTCCTACATGTTAACTCACCAATTATATCACTCAAATGTTATAAACTAGGACCCAATCAACTTTATTATTTTTTAAAATTACACTACCTAACTGAATACTCCAATTCGACTGAATGTACAGCAATGCAGAAAACATATGACCTGTCGTTGTAATAATCATTTGTGCTTTATTGTTATCTGTTCTAAAATATTGTTTTATCATGATGTCATCATTGCTTAGTTAAATATTAAGTTTATTTTAAAGCAGCCCGTAATGCTATGCATATAAGTGGCTTTGGGATGCTGCTCTTACCTGCTATTTTTTTGGTACCTTGTATGTATGTTAAATTACTAAATAAATCAAATAAATAAATATTATTATAAATAAGGGGACGTCCATCCAGATGCCTGATGTACGATGCTCGCTGTACGATGCTCGTTGTACGATGGACTCGTAACCTCGCCTCTTCCGCCTCTGACTCTTCGGCTTTTAATTTTCTCTTGCCCTTTTGATTACTCATTTACCACATTATCACTTGTATACTTGCTACTTATAATTTTCACTCCACTTTTGGTAAGTACACTACTTATTTGTGATGAACCCACCTGTTATGGCTGGCCTACTCCCTCAGGCCTTACTGCTGCAACACTCTGCTTATATATATTTATGTATTACATATATATATCCCCTTTTCTGTGCTAGATTCTTCACGCTGTGGATACATCACATTTTTCGTTACCACCTCTCTTATCATTTGGTCTTTCTCTTTAGTCACTAGGCTTTTACTTGTATATATGTAACAATGTCGGCAACAGGTGCCCCACTAGGCCTCAACGAACTGGCACTTTGAAGTTCAAAAAAAAACACCCCTTTTGTTGTATATTTCAGGCTTCTTCGACTTTCTTATTTATTGGTTTCTATTTAACATTGGTTATCACTTGTAGGGTTGTTCACTGACGTTGCCACTACACTGGTTGCTTCTAGCTGCTAAACCACGCCATAAAAGCACTAAGATACTCGGAGCTGGGCTTGTGACCCACTTACACTGTCTCCACTGTGTGTGTGGAGTGTGTGGTGTGTGCTGTGTGTGTGTACTCACTGTTTTTGGTTGCAGGGGTTTCGAACCCAAAGCTCCTGGCCCCCCTCTTCACTGTGTATGTGTAACCACAAATAATTCTCACCTAATTGTGGTATTGCGGGGGTCGAGTCATTAGCTCCCGGCATGATTCACTGGTCGCTCTAGGTCCACTCTCTCCCTTTACCATAGTGTACTCACCTAGTTGAGGTTGCTGGGGTCGAGTCCAAGTTACAAGGTGTACTCACTTATTTACTCACCCTATTTGTGGTTGCAGGGGGTCGAGTCTTAGCTCCTGGCCCCGCCTCTTAACCGGTTGCTACTGGGCCTATCTCCCTGCTTTTCATTGGGGGATGGTGCATCGTCTGCCAAGTCTTTTGCTTTCGTAGTGAGTGATTTTCGTGTGCAAGTTCGGTACTAGTCCCTCTAGGATTTTCCAGGTGTATATAATCATGTATCTCTCCCTCCTGCGTTCGAGGGAATACAGGTTTAGAAACCTCAAGCGCTCCCAGTAATTGAGGTGTTTTATCTCCGTTATGCGCGCCGTGAAAGTTCTCTGTACATTTTCTAGGTCGGCAATTTCACCTGCCTTGAAAGGTGCTGTTAAGAGTGCAGCAATATTCCAGCCTAGATAGAACAAGTGACCTGAAGAGTGTCATCATGGGCTTGGCCTCCCTAGTTTTGAAGGTTCTCATTATCCATCCTGTATATATGAAATAACTTTAAAACACTTAAAATTTTGGAAAGTTTCCAGATTTAATGGAGAGACGTGGTGCTCATGGACAATATAACAAAACAGGTGGGGTGCAGTAACCATATTAGAAAGTCAGGTGGTAGAGCCGTATAGCGAGTTTTGGTCATAATTTGAAATATCCTTATTAGCGGAACGCTGTAAGGCAAAACACCGTAAGGCAAAACTCTGTAAAGTGGGGCCCTACTGTATATATGAAGGTAACACGAAAGACTTTTCTCATAAAATACATTTATTATCAACGTTTTGATGAATCAATCACCATGATTATGAACTGTGAAGAACACAAGTTTTGTACAAATTTAGAAATTGTGATCAGTTACAAATAACAAAACAAGTTAAAAGTGAGACTAAAAATCCAGAGACATTGTAATAAGTGTGTTACTCTAGGAAGGATTGAGCCAACACTGACCCAACTTCACCGGAAGCATGACAGTTTTAATATAAATAGCACAGCAATCAAGGCATGATCATTAATTTAAGCTCAGGTTTGAGCTCCCTAATATACAAACTCTCTAAAAATCTCAAATCTAATTTATTCCATGCCCTAGATATAATTTTTGTCTTTGGTAATTTATAAATTATCTTTTACAAATACACAAATAACCTGCACTTAGAAAAAGAAACTAATGACATTTCGGTCCGGTTTGGACCATAAACATTATTAGTTCAAGGTGGAACAAAACATAGCTATGAATTTCAGTTTCTTAAATGCAGGTTATTTGTATATTGCTCCTGCTTTGATATAGTCACTTTTTATTCTTTATAAATGATCTCTTTGTTTTGGAATGTAATCTTACAATTGAGAAAGAAGGTTTAGCTAGTTTAATAGGGACCTCTGTGTTCACATATTCTAGTTTGGAAGTTTCTAACTGTACTACCAACATATCTAGCAATATAGACACAACATGTATATTGATTAATAACATCAGAGCACAAAGATGGCATAACTAGATCCTTATCTCTAAAATGACTCCCAATAGCTAAAGGATTGACAAACTTGCTTCTTTAAAGTATTTAATTTATTATTGATTATCTGAACTGAATTAAAAATAATTGAAAAAAAAAATTATGAGTTAGCACAAATCATGTTTAATAAAATAAAATAAATATTCAATTAATACAACAATATTTATCATTCATTTAATAGTTTTTTGCTGTTTACTGACAAATCAGTTTACGCCAGGAGGAAGTGATCTCTTCTCTAGGTATCTGTTTCATAGTAATGCTGACAGATTTTGAAACCAAGTTTGACAGCAATGTTGCCTTCTTTGGGCCTGTGTGGTTGGTGTATGTAACCAGTGATTACATGCAGTAACCATTAAAATGGGGAAAGCTCTCCAGACTCTTCTTGCTCTTGTGTCGCTGTGTGCCTGGCCGACGCCACCCCAAGCATCACCCAGATCTAAGACCTACATACTGCGAAAATGCAATACCTGACTGAGATGGATGTGTAGGGCTGCTTGGTATGTTGTCTTAATACCTGTATTGAATAAAGCAACATAACTAAGGATGCGTTTCCCTTCACCGATCATCTGGCTGTAACCCACTATACGCCCACAAGAGGATACAAAAAGCAATTGAACTGACTTAGGAAAGAAAAGTCAATGCAGGAGGTATATACATTGTATTCTGCTGCTATATCTACATACTGAGTTAGATCTCTCTTGGGTTACCCCAGCCAGGTCACTGCTGGTCTTGGAATAGGTCACCCCAGGGTGACTAGTTACCCAGGTAGATAAGCACTGTTCTAGAGTAAATGCAGTATTCTTAATGAACAAAAGTGATTGATGCAGGTTCACACGCTCTTCATTTCTTATTAAATTAAATAAAATGTTTATTTTATATTAACTGACTGTATTCAGTTACCCATATACAAGAAACTTTTCTTTAGCATTATAGTTCCTTTAAGCTTCTACATTAACAGGCCTCTTAATTTCAGCATGTCCTTGCAGATTACTACTGCCTACAGGCTGGGTATGGAATGTATAATAAAGATATTAAACTAAATGAGCATTAATGAAATATAACAGGGAGGAGTGTTTCACAGGAGCCTCAGCAGAAGTAATGATATTATTAGAAGAGGCATGACGACGAAGGACACGGACGAGGTATTGCAGAGGATAGTGTTGCAGAAGCACATGTGTCCTCCAGCAAGTCCGAGGAAGTCACCTGTTTTACAGCCGTATTCATAAGTCTTGTCAGCACACCCTTTTTTCAAACGTTCAAGGGCAACTGGAAAAATAGAAACATTTATATTTAAAGTGGATTGCATGGTAGGGGAAGTGGAATATTCAAATGGCTTCAGAAAGAAATCCAAATATTCTTCCTCGAAGCTTTTTTATCCACTTTTCTGAGGCTATGGGTCACACAATTTGCACTAGAGGTGGACCCCATCCTATAAAAAAATCTAGAAATATTTAAATAAAGTTTATTTATATATGTGTATATACATCCTAGGTAGCAGGTTGGCAAACAGCAACTGCCCAGAGAGGTTCTACCGTCCTGCCAAGTGAGTGTACAATGAAAGCCTGTAATTGTTTTACATGATGGTAGGATTGCTGGTGTCTTTTGTCTGTCTCATAAACATGCAAGATTTCAGGTATGTGTTGCTTCTTCTACTTGCATTTAGGTCACACTACACATACATGTACAAGCATATACACACAGCCCTCTGGGTTTTCTTCTATTTTCTTTCTACTTCTTGTTCTTGTTTATTTCCTCTTACCTCCATGGGGAAGTGGAACAGAATTCTTCCTCTGGAAGCCATGTGTGTTGTAAGAGGCGACTAAAATGCCGGGAGCAAGGGGCTAGTAACTCCTTCTCCTGTATATATTACTAAATGTAAAAGGAGAAACTTTTGTTTTTCCTTTTGGGCCACCCTGCCTCGGTGGGATACGGCCGGTGTGTTGAAAGAAAGTTTATATACACCTACCATCCGACTTACGACCGAGTTCGGTTCCGAGAAACCGGCCGTAAGTCGAAATGGTCGTAAGTTGAACTTTACTACTGAATATCAACAAAACATTTTTGTAATGACTTTATTTTATTGTTTTATTTTGGTATTTCATGTTTTACTTTACTTTTTATGTTATTAGTACTGTATTTTATACTCCAAGGTTTAGGATAAACACTGTGCACAACAAAAATAGTTGTTTATTTCCCAGAAATTTGGCATAAAAAACACGGTTGTAAGTCGAGTGTGCGTAAGTCGAGCAGGTCGTAAGTCGGATGGTAGGTGTACATGTAATTTTAACTGCTTATCCCGGTGGCTAAAGCTCCCACTTCACACACAGAGGGCCCAGGTTCGATTCCCGGCAGGTGGAAACATTTCGACGTGTTTCCTTACACCTGTTGTCATGTTCACCTAGCAGCAAATAAGTACCTGGGTATTAGTTGACTGGTGTGGGTCGCATCCTGGGGGACAAGATTGAGGACCCCAATGGAAATAAGTTAGACAGTCCTCAATGACGCACTTACTTTCTCGGGTTATCCTGAGTGGCTAACCCTCTGGGGTTAAAAATCCGAACGAAATCTTATCTTATCTTCTCTTATCTTTAAATATAATAACAAGTATAGAATATGCTACAATACAGGACAGTTTTGCAGGCCTAAAATCTGTTTTTCTTAGGGAAGTTATGCAGGCAAATTAATTTTGGGTGTGATTTATAGGCCCCAAAATCTTGATAGGGAATACAGTAAGCTGCTATGGGACGAAATTCATAAGGCGTTTAGATATGAAAATGTCATGCTAATGGGAGATTTTAACTTTAGACAAATTGATTGGAACAATATGACAGGAAATCTTGAATCTAGTGACTTTCTTGATACGATTCAGGATTGCTTTTTTAAAACAGTTTGTGACAGAACCAACTGGAGGAAACAACCTATTTGACTTGGTTCTTGCCAACAAAGAATCACTAATTAACCCTTTGACTGTCGCGGCCATATATATACGTCTTACGAGGTACCGTGTTTGACGTACATATACTCATAAATTCTAGCAGCTTCAAATCAAGCAGGAGAAAGCTGGTAGGCCCACATGTGAGAGATAAGATAAGATAAGATTTCGTTCGGATTTTTAACCCCGGAGGGTTAGCCACCCAGGATAACCCAAGAAAGTCAGTGCGTCATCGAGGACTGTCTAACTTATTTCCATTGGGGTCCTTAATCTTGTCCCCCAGGATGCGACCCACACCAGTCGACTAACACCCAGGTACCTATTTGCTGCTAGGTGAACAGGACGATAGGTGTAAGGAAACGTGTCGAAATGTTTCCACCCACCGGGAATCGAACCCGGGCCCTCCGTGTGTGAAGCGGGAGCTTTAGCCACCAGGCCACCGGGCCACCCACCAGGCCACCGGGCCACGAATGGGTCTGTGTGGTCAGTGTGCACCATATATAAAAAATCCCGGAGCACGCAGTGCATAATTTGAAAAAAAAAAACTCCGACCGTTTTTTTTTAATTAAAATGCCGACTTTGTGGTCTATTTTCGTATAGTATTTATGGTTGTATTCTCGTTTTCTTGGTCTCATTTGATAGAATGGAAAACATATTATAGAAATAGCGGTGATTTTGATTGATTTTCCTATAAAAAGAACCTAGAAATGGAGCTCAAAGTAGGGGAAATGTTTGATTTTTGCCAATGTTCAAAAGTAAACAAATGATGCCATTGTCCAATAAATGTCCAACTAGCCATTCTAATATGCAGTCATGAATGGGTTGATGTTATTTATACAATTATTACAGTATTGCAGTAGTCTGCATAATAGTAAATCTTCTATTTTTTGTTTGAATAAAAATTCAAAATAGAAAGCAAGAGTAATATCAGAGAGGCCTGGAGACATGACTGATGAGCAAAGAAAATGTTATTTTAGAGCCAGGAATGTCTGCATTGTTCATTCTGGACCTTATTTTGAAATTGTCGTATTTTTTAGTTTTCGTGAAATTGGCCAAATTGCAAATTTCTGACCACATTATTATGTAATTGAAATTGGTAAATGGACAGTTTCTTGTATTCAATCGATAGAAAAAATGGAGTTCTAAAGAAATAGCTATGAGTTTGGGCAACTGGAACAATGGAATTAGCCAGAAATAGGGCTCAAAGTGGGCGAAATCGCCGATTTGTAAACAGCGCCGAGGTCGCTAACTTCGCGAGAGCATAATTCCGTCAGTTTTCCATCAAATTTCGTTTTTTTGGTGTCATTACAATCGGGAAAAGATTCTCTATCATTTCATAAGAAAAAATAATTTTTTTTTTTTTAAATTTTGCGACACCAGGAGACACCTCAGGATTGGAGGTTGCGACAGTCAAAGGGTTAATAATCTTGAGGGTAATGATGAATTTGGGGAAAGCAATCACAAATCACTTCCCTGTCCCAGACTTCCTCTTGGCCAATTTCATGGGACTGAGAAATTACCTGGATGGGCTAAATTGGAACGACCTGACTATGGGCCAGGTAGGTGGTATTGGTTGCCAATATCATGCTTTTCAAAGCATTATTCTAGCTACCCAGACAATTTATGTTCCAAGTAAGAAAATTAGATCAACTAATAATGATCCCAAATGGATAAACAATAGATTAAAACATTTCATTGGTCAAAAGAGAGGATGGGCAGTTAAGAAATCAATATATTCAATTAAAGAGAGAAATAAAAAAGGGAAAAGAAAAGCTAAAAAGAGATTATGAGGCTAAAGAGGCAAGGGATTCGAAGACTAACCCAAAAGGTTTTTTTCAGGTATGAGTAATTTTAGGGACAAGATTGACCCACTTAAGAGTAACTCAGGTCAGATCACTGACAGTGATAAGGAAATGTGTGAAATTTTTAACTCTTATTTCCTCTCGGTTTTTACACAGGTAGATACCAGTGAAATTCCAGATATAATAAATAATGTAGAACAGGACAATAATAAACTATGCACAATTAGGGTAACTAGTGACATGGTCCTCAAACAAATAAAAAAATTAAAACCAAACAAATCCCCAGGCCCCAATGAACTGTTTGCAAGGGTGTTAAATGAATGTAAAGAGGAGCTTAGTAAATCTTTGGCTAATCTTTTCAACATATCACTACAAACTGGCATGGGGCCACACAAGTGGAAAATGGCAAATGTAATACTGTACCTAATTACAAAGCAAGAGACAGGTTTTTAGCTTTGAACTATAGACCAATAAGCCTTACCTCCATAGTGGGAAAATTTATGGAATTAATAATTGCCAAGGTAATTCATAGCAATCTTGAAAGGCATAAACTGATTAATGAATCTCAGCATGGTTTTACAAAGGGGCATCCCTGCCTTACAAATTTACTAACTCTTTTCACCAAGGTATTTGAGGAGGTAGATCATGGTACTGAATATGATATTGTGTATATGGACGTCAGTAAAGCTTGTGATAGACTTCCAAATCAGAGGCTATTGAGGAAAATTAAGGCACACAGGATAGGAGAAATTTTTTCCTGGATTCATTACAATGAAGCATTTTTTTAGTATGCTTCAGAGGCACTTATCAAAGGGACTACGCAAAGGTGCTCTGTTGATTAATAATGTTACAGTGGTTATGAGCTATTTACAACAGGCATTGGACCTGAGAGGTAACCAGACACGTGAATGTGTTCATCACTCATCACAGTACTACCTACTCTATCATCGAATTATCGGTCTTTCACTAAGGAATAATAAACTCCAGTCCTGCGCTGTAAATACGTATATTCGATGGACTATATGGGAAGCACCAAGCCTGGCCTGTGTCTCTCCTGTCTATCCTTCAACTGACTCACATTGGTGCCTAGGGGGTGAGCGGCATTCAAATCATGCTAGGTCAGCTGTAACAGTGAATAACAGTCAGTGGTTCATGCAGGAGCAGAGGATCAGTAACGGTCTGTGTATGAGTCATTACTACTGACACTAGTAACTGGCACTACTGAGATAACTGGTACTACTGAGATATACAACCAATCTTGTATGATGACATAGAATAGGAAAACATAGCTAGCTTTTCACATGTTACTCTCATACAGACGGAGCAGCTATACACTGTGGATGTGCCCAAAAATAAAAAAAAAATGACACAACACCGTGACTGGAACAATACAAAAATAACCCGCACACAGAAGTGGGACTTGTCACAATTGCTCTTTGCTGATGACACTGTGCTCTTGGGAGATTCTGAAGAGAAGTTGCAGAGGTTGGTGGATGAATTTGGTAGGGTATGTAAAAGAAAATTAAAAGTGAATACAGGAAAGAGTAAAGTTATGAGGATAACAAAAAGATTAGGTGATGAAAGATTGGATATCAGATTGGAGGGAGAGAATATGGAGGAGGTGAATGTATTCAGATATTTGGGAGTGGACGTGTCAGCGGATGGGTCTATGAAAGATGAGGTGAATCATAGAATTGATGAGGGGAAAAGGGTGAGCGGTGCACATAGGAGTCTGTGGAGACAAAGAACTTTGTCCTTGGAGGCAAAGAAGGGAATGTATGAGAGTATAGTTTTACCAACGCTCTTATATGGGTGTGAAGCATGGGTGACGAATGTTGCAGGGAGGAGAAGGCTGGAGGCAGTGGAGATGTCATGTCTGAGGGCTATGTGTGGTGTGAATATAATGTAGAGAATTCGTAGTTTGGAAGTTAGGAGGAGGTGCGGGATTACCAAAACTGTTGTCCACAGGGCTGAGGAAGGGTTATTGAGGTGGTTTGGACATGTAGAGAGAATGGAGCGAAAAAGAATGACTTCAAGAGTGTATCAGTCTGTAGTGGAAGGAAGGTGGGGTAGGGGTCGGCCTAGGAAAGGTTGGAGGGAGGGGGTAAAGGAGGCTTTGTGTGCGAGGGGCTTGGACTTCCAGCGGGCATGCGTGAGCGTGTTTGATAGTGAATGGAGACAAATGGTTTTTAATACTTGATGTGCTGTTGGAGTGTGAGCAAAGTAACATTTATGAAGGGATTCAGGGAAACCGGCAGGCCGGACTTGAGTCCTGGAGATGGGAAGTACAGTGCCTGCACTCTGAAGGAGGGGTGTTAATGTTGCAGTTTAAAAACTGTAGTGTAAAGCACCCTTCTGGCAAGACAGTGATGGAGTGAATGATGGTGAAAGTTTTTCTTTTTCGGGCCACCCTACCTTGGTGGGAATCGGCCATTGTGCTAATAAAAAAAAATAGAAGAGAGGAGCTGACAACGACGTTTTGGACCGACTTGGACCATGTGACTTTGTAAATGGTCCAAATCGGACTAAAATGTCATCGTAAGCTCCTCTCTTCTATCTGCGGGTAATTTGTGTATGGATGTACCCAATTGGTAATCAGTCCCTCAACCTTGAGTCGATGTGGTCAGTCCATCAATCTTGAATAAAATACGGCATACGTGCGGAGAAGGAGCTGATAAACCGTTGGCAGGAGAGGTGCAGCAGTCATAGGTGGTGTCACATTTGTTCAATGTGGAAGTAGGTCGTGCCCAAGAGTTGCACATGTGTCTAATTTATCAACATGTCGGTTTTCTGAACCATTCATCTACAAACATATATAGTGTAAACAAATGTTTGAAATAATAAAGTGTTTTTAATCATTAGATACCCATATTCCAAATTAATAACTCGGGTTACAATTTTTCATGAAGATCATGAGAAACATACTCACACAACTTTACACCAACAGAGTAGCAGGAGTTTTGGCAAAACACCACCGAAGATTTGTCATTCTCAGGGTCATGGGAGTAGCAAAGAAAAGCAGCAGCTGTAAAAAAAAAAGTAAAAACCTTTAATACTAGAAGTTGAATGTGTATATGGTTATCAATATTTATATTTGTAATAATGAAGTATATGTTCAATCAGAACTTCTAAGGGTCCATTAAGTTCTTATTAGTAGTAATCAGAAAGGCTATATGTCCTTGATATAAGGTAATGCTATATGTGTTGGTAGTAGTTAGATAAGATTTTATTTGAATTTTTAACCCCGTAGGGTTAGCCACCCAGGATAACCCAAGAAAGTCAGTGCATCATCAAGGACTGTCTTATTTTCATTAGGGTCCTTAGTAAGTAAGTTTATTCAGGTATACACAAATACATTTACATAGATTATCATACATAGCAGCATATGTGTAAAGTACCTAAGATAACCCAAAAAAGTCAGAGTGACTTATTTCCATAGGGGCCCTTCAGTCTTGTCCCCCAGGATGCGACCCACACCAGTCAACTAACACCCAGGTACCTACTTGCTTGCTAGGTGAACGGGGCAACAAGTGTAAGGAAACACCCCCTGTGAAAATTTGTGTGGACTGCCTCCAAGTGAGTCGCCTACCCTGGCAAACTCTGTTGACACCGAGCTCTGAGGTGGGTACCTCAGCCTCACAAGTGGCTTATAGGACAGATTTTCACAAATGATTGGTATTGCAAGAAACCTCGCCTGCATGCACGTATAAAGGACTAACTTACTTGGTGTTGCAGCATATATCCTGATCTTCACTTCCCTAAGCTAGCCTTAGCCCCTTTGGACTCCCCCTCAGAAACCACGTGCAACCGGGAGCATTAATTCCTGCAATATTCAATTGTAATTAGTGTCCTGCCTGCACCTCAGAAATTCCTATATCCAAGAGGGAATGTATCCCCTAGTATAACTATGCAGACTCAGACACTAGCTTCTAGACTGCTCTGAGACACTGGTACTTACTGGGCATGCTCTACCAGCTGCAACACAGGCCCACAGATAAACTCACTCACAATCTCCCCAGACACTGGCCAGAAATCTACGAGATAAAGGAGGTCTTGTCTTACTGTATGGGCCTGACGGAGGAGGTCATCTACGGTACATCGAGGTGCCTCTACCAGATTTCCCCAGGTCTCAAATGTGAAGACACGTGGGGGCGCCGTCTGCTGATCACGGCACGTCTTGTCCAGTTGGTGTCTGTCTTAAGAAGGACGCTATTCTGTCTTTGTGACCCGCGCCTCCTCAATCAAGCTAGGGCTGCCAGTTCTCCCTAGCTAACTTATCCTAGTGTTTGCCTACATTATCAGCCTATTACTACCTATGTTAAGGTCTTAGGTCTACTTTATCATTACCTACAGATGCCTTAGTAAACCTAATATTAGTGTACTACCAGTAAAACTACCTACTCCTTCCCTGAAGAGTAAATCTATAAATTAAATACATGCCTACCAAGAATCCATCGCCGACAAGAGAATGCTTCCCTGTTTGGGTGGGGTATAAGGGCCATCCAGCTCAGCCGTCCCGTACGGCCATGCTGGATCTGCCCTGTGGAATTTTAGGGACCAAATAAATTTCCACACCCCCAGTGTTTCCACTCAGCTGGGGAACTGAACCACCAACACTGTGTGTGGGGTGAGAGTGCTGCCAGACCTGAACATCTATGCAGATTTAGCATGTTCCTTACCCATTTAGTTAAGAATGGAGGAACACTGCAGCAGGCCTACCGACCCAAAAACCCCTCCAGGTATGATAAGTAAGACACATGTGCAACAGTTCAGTATCTTTATTCCATAAAGTTTCACCTACACAGGAGACTTCTTTAGTTGAGGACAGATGAGTGAGCAGAAACAGTAGAAATCTAAAGACGATGTCATCAGTCCATCACCCTTGAAAACGTAGTTTTTGAGGTGGTCAGTCCCTCAGCCTGCAGAAGAGTTTTACTCCATAGTTTGGAACAATGTGAAGTATGGAGACTTACATACTGTCAAGAGGTGAGGTGCAGCCCACTAGTAGCAGAAAGAATGTAACGCACATGTGCAACAGTTGGGTATCTTCACTGTTAGTTTAATATGTTTATTATGCACCCCATACCCATCCTGTGGGCAGCAGTCAAAAGATTACACTTTATTGATGAAATGTTTCACCTACACAGTAGGCTTCTTCAGTCAAATCCAGAGGAAGTAGTAGTAATGAAATAAAGATGATGTAATCAGTCCATCAATCTTGAAGAAAAAATATGTGAGGTGGTCAGTCCCTCAGCCTGGAGAAGAGCTCAGCTCCATGGTCTGGAACATTATGAAGCTGAAGCATGAGAACAGTCTTAAATATTGTTGGTCAGGTGGAATATATTGATTCATAAGATGACCCTCACCTCTTTAGATGTGTCTATAAATTCCTTTCTTCTGTCCTAAAATATGTTTGAACCTGTTATTCATCCATTTCGGGTCATTTCTATTCGATCTTATTTCTTTATACAGAATAAATGTTCTTTGGGTGGCATCTGTAGTGTTTAGGAAACTCATCCTGATAGCTCTCTTTACTCTCTTTAATAATAATAATAATAGTAATAATAATAATTATTATTATTATTATTATTATTATTATTATAATTATTATTATTAATAATAATAATAATAATAATAATAATATTATTATATTATTATTATTATTATTATTATTATTATTATTATTGTTAATATTAATAATAATAATGTGTTGCTGTTTGTTTATTCTAAACTAACTTGTACAACTTGTACACAATGTAAGAGTATTTGTATTGTGAGGTAATTATTATTAAAATAAAAAAATATTGAGGTAAATGTTTTACAAACTCTTACAAATGGACGTGAATGAACTAAAAGTAGACACATATTAATACGCATTTCGCCTGACCAAGTGATCATCCACTACCTGTTCAGTTTGTGTTCTTACATTGTCTCAACTCTGTATCTCGTTCTCTCTCTCGTTTACTCTTTCGTTAACTAGTTGGCTCTCATTGATGATGGCGTCTAAGGTTAGCTGTAATAAAAAGAGAAGCCGTAAGCCTCTTGCTTTAAGTGCCAAGTTAGAGGATGATGGTGTGCCATTTTGATTTTATTCAATAAACACCCTGCCACTCACCTCTCACACATTAATATTAATATTTTAAGGTAAGTAATAAGTGTACTGTGTGTATCTTAACTTTTATTGTTTTTTTAATGCCTATTTCTATTGCTAACTTAATACAAGTTAGTGTAAACTTGTTGTCTGGCATTTATTGCATATTTTATATGCTCTGATAATAATACTTGTGGAGCCGGGTGGAGGACAACATTACGTTTTCTCTGTTCAGCCATCAGAGAAAACGTGTATGAATCTGCGTTTGGCCCAGCCACTCCCCCACTCCACTTTTGTTTACAATTTTCGGCATGAATTATTCATTACTTCTACCTTCGTTTATGATGACATCTAAAGGTAGTTGTTAGAAATGATTAAATTCAGTGAACAAGGCATGTTAATAATATGGCTCTGGGCCACAGTGTAGGTAGCCGGTAGGTGTAGCCCAGGCTACACCTACCGGCTACCTACACTGACTTTATACAAATAAATACTACTCACCTCTCTTCCTATATTAAGACTACACATATTTTAAGGTAAATAATGAGTGTACTGTATGTGCATTTTACCTCTCTGGGATGTTTTAAATATCGTATATTAAGTATGAGACGGGGAGCCAGTGCTACCTACACCTGGGCTACCTGCACCTGACTTCCTACAAATAAGTACTACTCACCTCTCTCCCTACATTAAGATTACAAATACTTTAAGATAAGTAATGAATTTACTGTGACTGTATTTTACTTTGTGTGTTTTTAATGCCTAGTTCTATTACTAACTTAATATAATTTAGTGTAAACTTGTTGTCTGGCATTTATATGCATTTATAAATGGAAAAAAATGGAGTTCTGCCTTCCGGCAATGTCTGCTTTATGGCGACAGCCTGGAACCTAACCCGCCGTATAAGTGGGGCCCTACTGTACATAGATATACAGAGAGAGAGAACCAACCATATATTAATTAACCCTTTCAGGGTCCAAGGCCCAAATCTGGAGTCACGCACCAGTGTCCAAGAATTTTCAAAAAAAAAATTTGTTATTTTTTCTTATGAAATCGTAGAGAATCTTTTTGTGAAGGTAATAAAACAAAAAGTACGAAATTTGGTGGAAAATTGACGAAATTATGCTCTCGCGAATTTTGATGTGTCAGCGACATTTACGAATCGGCGATTTTGCCGACTTTGACTCCCATTTTAGGCCAATTACATTATTCCAATCAACCAAATTCTTAGCTATTTCACTAGTATTACTTCTATTCTATCGATTGAGCACAAGAAATCACCAAGTCAACTGTTTCAACTACAAAATAAAGTGATCGGAAATTGTTAATTTGGCCAATTTAACACAAAGTTCAAAATATTCCAATTTCAAAATAGGGTCCAGAATAAACAATGTAGGCATTCCTGGCACTAAACTAACGTTTCCTCTGTTCATTAGTTATGTTTTGAGGCTTTACAAATAAATTCCACTTTGATTTTTTATTCACATAATGAATTTTTATTCACACCAAAAAATAGAAGATTTACTGTTATGCAATACTGTAATAATTGTATAAATATCATCACCATATTTGTGAATGTATACTAGACCCACCAGCTGACGTGTATTTGACTTGTGAGGTCGTTTGTTTACTCTTGAATATTGGCAAAAATTTAACATTTCCGCTACTTTGAGCTCAGTTTCAAGCCATTTCCAGTGCTAAAACCAATCAAAATCATCTCTATTTCTGTAATATGTCTTCCATTCTATCAAATGAGACCAAGAAATCGCAAATACAACTATAAAAAACATACGAAAAAACACTGCAAAGTTGCTGTTTTAATCGAAAAATCATGATTTAAGTTTTTTTCTCTAATTATACACAGTGTGCTGCAGGATCTGTTTTATGTGGTGCACACATACCACATGGATGTATTCTCTCATATCTAGGCCCAAATGTACCACTCACAGTTTATCAGAGTGACCTGAGCTCATGGCGTAGATCTACGGTTTGGACCCTGAACGTAAAGCCGTAGATCTACAGGACGGACCCTGAAAGGGTTAAAGTGTAAACTTCATTATGTGACTTTTGTATGGTATCCATCCAGTCAATCAAAACAGACAACGTCCAAAATCCTAATTATAAAAGGTGGTGCATCAAACAACAGAAAATCGACAAAGTTTTACAAAATTAAATCTTACACAGATTAGCACATTTTTTTGAACTCACCTACATTAAAGGTCCACATCAGTAAGAGGATCGTTGCGATGGGCTTCATCATGCTCCTGAAATATAATATTCAGTAAGTCATTTTCAAAGGTTTTAGACAACTGCAGTGATTTCCTTACTTTGTGAGTAATTTTTTATTTTTTATAAATTTCCATTAATAGCATAAGAGACAACACAATAAGTGTCTGGGGCCCAAGACTGTTCAACTGCCTCCCAGCATACATAAGGGGGATTACCAGTAGATCCCTGGCTGTCTTCAAGAAGATTCTGGACATGCACCTAAAGTCAGTACCTGACCAGTGGGGCTGTGGTTCATACGTCAGTTTGCAGGTAGCCAGTGGTAACAGCCTGGTTGATTAGGCCCTGATGCACCGTGAGGCCTAGTCACAGACTGGGTCCCGGGGGCAATGACCCCCAAAACCCTCTCCAGGTATACTCCAGGTACAATAAAACGTTATGTGAGCATCTTAAGTAATGGATTCATTAGAAAAGATGAAGTGTCAAAAATTATTAATTTTTACATTAACATAAATGAAAAATATATCTTTAAATGTATAAGGGAAAATTTTACAAAGCACTTAATTTTAAATGAGTTCTTGTTAATTGACCAGTTTATATATATATAAACTGTTCTTGTCATGGCATTATGCTGGGTGAGTGCCCCTGCACAATATTGTGATGAAAATCAAAGGCCTACCATACAGGGGGGGGTCTTTTTTTGCTAGTGCATTCTGCTGGGTAGCAGCAGTTAGCATGATGCCACGGCCCCCCACCACACTTCCCAGTGACTCCTCAGTGCTCACATGGCTGCCGTGGTGAGAGGAAGTGCTGCACTTTTGTCTCTCTTATCCAGTGGTCCCTTTGGTTTTGGGGCTATACGTGTTTGATTATGGGTAGAAAGAAATCTTTAACACCTAAAACTACAGCTCAAATCATAGGGTTTTGCAAAGCTGGGCACCAGACAAATGAAATAGTGGAGAATGTTGGTGTGTATGAGCGTTCAGTGAGGAGCTGGGTGTAGCATTTCAAGGCTGGTGGCGGTGTGGAGTTACAGTCTGCCAAACCTCGGCCTGGCCCCTCCAAGAAAACATCTGTTCTTACCTTAACTGTGTTAAAGAAGCAGTTACTCTTTAACTGCTTCTTGAACACAGTTAAGGTATGAACAGATGTCTTCCTCGAGGAGCCAGGCCAAGGCTTAGCAGATGGTAACTCGACACTGCCACCATAATCAAACATGAATAGCCCCAAAACCAAAGGGAACACTGGACAAAAGATGAGATGGATGAAAGACAAAAGTACAACAATTCCTCTCACCACGGCTGCCACATGAGCAATGAGAAACCACTGGGAAGTGTGGTGGGAGGCCATGATGTCATGCTAATTGCTGCTGCACAGCAGAATGCACTGACAAAAGAAGACTCCCCTGTATGGTAGGCCTTTGAGGTTCATCACAGCATTGTGCCAGGGTGCTCACCCATCGTAATGCCATGACGAGCACTGTATATACATTTTTTTTTTTAACAAGTCGGCCATCTCCCACCGAGGCAGGGTGACCCAAAAAGAAAGAAAATCCCCAAAAAGAAAATACTTTCATCATTCAACACTTTCACCTCACTCACACATAATCACTGCTTTTGCAGAGGTGCCCAGAATGCAATAGTTTAGAAGTATATACGTTTAAAAATACACAACATATCCCTCCAAACTGCCAATATCCCAAACCCCTCCTTTAAAGTGCAGGTATTGTACTTCCCATTTCCAGGACTCAAGTCCAGCTATATAAAATAACCGGTATCTCTGAATCCCTTCACTAAATATTACCCTGCTCACATTCAAACAGCTCGTCAGGTCCCAAATACCATTCCTCTCCATTCACTCCTACCTAACATGCTCATGCACGCTTGCTGGAAGTCCAAGCCCCTCACCCACAAAACCTCCTTTACTCCCTCCCTCCAACCTTTTCGAGGACGACCCCTACTCTGCCTTCCTTCCCCTTCAGATTTATATGTTCTCCATGTCATTCTACCTTGATCCATTCTCTCTAAATGACCAAACCACCTCAACAACCCCTCTTCAGCCTTCTGACTAATACTTTTATTAACTCCACACCTTCTCCTAATTTCCACACTCTGAATTTTCTGCATAATATTTACACCACACATTGCCCTTAGACAGGACATCTCTACTGCCTCCAACCACCTCCTCGCTTCAGCATTTACAACCCAAGCTTCACACCCATATAAGAGTGTTGGTATTACTATACTTGCATACATTCCCTTCTTTGCCTCCATAGATAACATTTTTTTGTCTCCACATATACCTCAGTGCACCACTCACCTTTTTTCCTTCATCAATTCTATGATTAACCTCATCCTTCATAAATCCATCCGCCGACACGTCAACTCCAAAATATCTGAAAACATTCACTTCTCCCATACTCCTCCTCTTCAATTTGATATCCAATTTTAATTTTATCTAAATCATTTGATACCCTCATCACCTTACTCTTTTCTATATTCACTTTCAACTTTCTACCTTTACACACACTCCCAAATTCGTCCACTAACCTTTGCAATTTTTCTTTAGAATCTCCCATAAGCATAGTATCAACAGCAAAAAATAACTGTGTCACTTCCCATTTTGTATTTGATTCCCCATAATTTAATCCCACCCCTCTCCCGAACACCCTAGCATTTACTTCTTTTACGACCCCATCTATAAATATATTAAACAGCCATGGCGACATTACACATCCCTGTCTAAGACCTACTTTTACCGGTAAATAGGTGATATCACAATATGCTGTCAAAAAAATGGAATTCCAAGTGCTTTCACGATTTCTCACATTATCAAGGAACAGTTCCTTGATAATGTGAGAAATCACAAAAGCACCCAGAACTTCACTATTTTTTCATAGTGGTTGTTCTATATATTGTGATATCACCTATTTACTGTGATTTTATTGCATGTATATATATATATATATATATATATATATATATATATATATATATATATATATATATAATATATATATATATATATATATATATATATATATATATATATATACATGGGGGTCTGAAATGGACTAATCTACTTCACAATATTCCTTATGGGAACAAATTCGGTCGGTACTGGCACCTGAACATACTTCCGGAGTGAAAAAATATCGTTAACCGGGGGTCCACTGTATACAGTGGACCCCCGCATAACGATTACCTCCAAATGTGACCAATTATGTAAGTGTATTTATGTAAGTGCGTTTGTACGTGTATGTTTGGGGGTCTGAAATGGACTAATCTAATTCACAATATTTCTTATGGGAACAAATTCGGTCAGTACTGGCACCTGAACATACTTCTGGAGTGAAAAAATATCGTTAACCAGGGGTCCATTGTATATATATATATACAGTGGACCCCCGCATAACGATGGCATCACATAGCGATTTTTCCGCATACCGCTTACTTTTATCGCAAAATTTTTGCCGCGCATACCGATTAAAAACCCGCTCACCGATTTTCGTCCGAGACGCGTCCAATGTGCCCTCACATGTGCCGCCCGTCCCATTGTTTACCAGCCAGCCTCCGCGGTAACATCCAAGCATACACTCGGAATATTTCGTATTATTACAGTGTTTTCGGTGCTGTTTCTGGAAAATAAGTGACCATGGGCCCCAAGAAAGCTTCTAGTGCCAACCCTGTGGTAAAAAGGGTGAGAATTAGTATGGAAATTAAGAAAGATTTTGAAGGGTTTGGGGATAACCCTGAGAAGCCTATGCCAGTTGTGGAATCCATTGTGCCTACTTCAAAGATTAAGGAAATGTGTGCACAGTGGGTTGAACTGCAAACCTTTATAGATGAAAATCACCCTGACACAGCTGTTGCAAGCCGTGCTGGTGACTATTTCAATGACAATGTTGTGGCCCATTTTAGACAAATCGTAAAGGAACGGGAGGTACAGAGCTCTCTGGACAGATTTGTTGTGCGACAGAGGTCCAGTGACTCTCAAGCTGGTCCTAGTGGCATTAAAAGAAGAAGGGAAGTAACCCGGAAAAGGACTTGCTACCTCAAGTCGTAATGGAAGGGGATTCCCCTTCTAAACAGTAAGAAGATAATGCTCTCCCCTCCTCCCATCCCATCAATCATCACCAGATCTTCAATAAAAGTAAGTGTCATGTAATTGTGCATGCCTTTTTCAGTTTGTGTGTATTAAAATTAACATTTCATGTGGTAAAAAAAAATTTTTTTCATACTTTTGGGCGTCTTGCACGGATTAATTTTATTTCCATTATTTCTTATGGGAAAATTCATTCGCATAACGATTATTTCGCATAACAATTATCCCTCTTGCACGGATTAAAATCGTTAACCGGGGGTCCACTGTATATATATATATATATATATATATATATATATAATATAATATATATATATAAAATATATATATATATATATATATAATATATATATATATATATATACTATATATATATATATATATAAATATATATATATATATTATATATTATATATATATAATATATATATATATATATAAATATATATATATATTTATATATATATATATATATATATATACAGTGGACCCCCGGTTAACGATTTTAATCCGTGCAAGAGGGGTAATTGTTATGCGAAAAATCGCTATGTGAATGAATTTTCCCCATAAGAAATAAGGGAAAAATCAAATTAATCCGTGCAAGACACCCAAAAGTATGAAAAAAAAAATTTTACCACATGAAATATACATTTTCCCACACACAAAGAGAAGGATACATGCACAATAGTAGAGTAGTACATGCAACAGTATATATTGTGCATGTACTAGTCTACTAAATGAAGAATAAATGACACTTACCTTTATGAAGATGCAGCAATGACTGATGAGACACTGTGTCCTGGGAGTGCCTTTTCCTCCTGAGTACTGTAGGTCCTGTTTGGCATTTTCTTCCAGAACAGGCCTTATCACACTGTGTATGCCACTACGATTCTTAAATCTCTCAAACCAACCTTTGCTGGCTTTAAATTCACCA